AGGTTACACCACACAATATATACAACAGCTGTTCAATACATATACTGGTCACACAACACAATATATACAACAGCTGTTCAATACATATACTGGTCACACCACACAATATATACAACAGCTGTTCATATACTGGTCTCACTATTGGTTCAAACCTTCTATTACTGTTTTAGGGTGATGAGCTTGGACCAGGTTATTGGTTCAAACCTTCTGCTACTGTTTTAGGGTGATGAGCTTGGATCAAACTATTGGTTCAAACCTTCTGTTACTGTTTTAGGGTGATAAGCTTGGACCAGGTTATTGGTTCAAACCTTTTGTTACTGTTTTAGGGTGATTAGCTTGGACCAGGTTATTGGTTCAAACCTTCTGTTACTGTTTCAGGGTGATGAGCTTGGATCAAACTATTGGTTCAAACCTTCTGCTACTGTTTTAGGGTGATGAGCTTGGATCAAACTATTGGTTCAAACCTTCTGTTACTGTTTTAGGGTGATGAGCTTGGACCAGGTTATTGGTATAAACTTTCTGTTACTGTTTGAGGGTGATGAGCTTGGACCAGGTTATTGGTTCAAACCTTCTGTTACTGTTTAAGGGTGATGAGCTTGGATCAAACTATTGGTTCAAACCTTCTGTTACTGTTTTAGGGTGATGAGCTTGGACCAGGTTATTTGTTCAAACCTTTTGTTACTGTTTTAGGGTGATGAGCTTGGACCAGGTTATTGGTTCAAACCTTCTGTTACTGTTTCGGGTGATGAGCTTGGACCTAAATATTGGTTCAAACCTTCTGTTACTGGTTTTAGGGTGATGAGCTTGGATCAAACTATTGGTTCAAACCTTCCGTTACTGTTTTAGGGTGATGAGCTTTCACCAGGTTATTGGTTCAAACCTTCTGTTACTGTTTAAGGGTGATGAACTTGGATCAAACTATTAGTTCAAACCTTCTGTTACTGTTTTAGGGTGATGAGCTTGGAACAGATTATTGGTTAAAACCTTCTGTTGCTGTTTTAGGGTGATGAGCTTGGAACAGGTTATTGGTTAAAACCTTCTGTTACTGTTTTAGGGTGTGGAACTTGGACCATTGGAAATCAACATAAATTCACTGCAGAAGTCCATTGAGGCACGCCTCCAGGAGATTGCTGAGCTGCAACAACTGTGGCTCCGACAGCAGACAGAACTTGTTCACCTATCCAAAGAGAAAGATAGCCAATCCCATTCTGTTGAGAAACTGAAGAAGCAGCTTACAATCCTCTCACAGAAAAAGATCCGTACAGAAGGTGAGAGTAATTGTCATTCACAACATTTTAGAAAATTCTTATTTTTATTTCCCCTGTAACACTTTGGAATTGGATTGTCTGTCCACTTATCCACCAATCTTTTCTATAGGAATTATGCACCTTTTCTACTATCCTTAACAGAGATTTTTGAAATAATAATTCTAACTACCTTCATGACCAATATCTTTGAAACAGTATCACAATAATACCTTATATACTGCAATTTATTTTTGATTTCTACTATTTAAACAGGAGTTATGCCCCTTCTCTGATTTTTAGCTCACCTGGTCCGAAGGACCATGCTGAGCTTATACCATACCACAGTGTCGGTCGTCCGCCAACTTTTCCTACAAAATGCTACTTGTCCTCAACAACTTTATCCAAATTTAACCTTGGGCAAAGGGGACTAAATTTTGTATTAATGTAGGGTGTGGCCCCTCTGCATGTAGACTGGCGGGGCCCAATTGGGGAATTTGAGTTTTAAATCTTTAAAATCCTTCTTTTTCTGTACCATTGCAGAGTCTTAAACAAATTTAGCCTGGAGCATTCTTGGGCAATGGGGACGAAATTTTATGTAAATGGAGGATGTGGCCTCTCTGGCTGCAGGGGGCAGGCCCAATAGGGGAATTTGAGTTTTAAATTAAATCTTTAAAATCCTTCTTCTCCTGTACCATTGGAGGGATTTTTTCCAAATTTTGCCTGGAACATTCTTGGGCAAAGGGGACAAAATTTTATAAAAACGGAGAGTGTGGCCTCTCTGGGTGCAGAGGGGCCGGGCCTAATAGTGGAATTTGAGGTTTAAATCTTTAATATGCTTCTTCTTCTTCTAAACTATTGCAGGGATTTTAACCAAATTTGGCCTGGAGCATCCTTTGGCAAAGGGGACAAACTTTTGTATAAACGGAGAGTGTGGGCTCTCTGGGTGCAGAGAGGTGGGGCCCATTAGGGGAATTTGAGGTTTAAATCTTAAAGGGAGAGTATGGCCCGGCCCCCTGGGGGCAGCGTGGCGAGGCCCAATAGGTGGAGCGTAGTAATAAATTATCAAAATCCTTCTTCTTTAGTATGATTTGAGCGATTTTTAACAAATATTTTGTAGAGCAATTTTGTATAAATGTAGGATGTGGCCCCCTTTGGGGCAGAGGGGTGGGGTGCAATCAGGAAAATTCAGGTATATCTTTAAAATCCTTCTCCTTTAGTATGATTGGAGTAATTTTAACCAAATTTGGTCAAGAGCATCATTTGGCAAGGGGACTTAATTTGTTTTAACAGAGATTGAGGTCCTCCTGGGAGCAAAGGGGAAGGGTCTAGTAGGGGGAACATATTAATAAATAAAGACTTTACAGTATTTACAATGTTAACTAGCTCTAAACTAGAGACTTTACAGTATTTACAATGTTAACTAACTCTAAACTAGAGACTTTACAGTATTTACAATGTNTAAACTAACTCTAAACTAGAGAATTTACAATAACTTACAATGTTAACTAACTCTAAACTAGAGACTTTACAGTATTTACAATGTTAACTAGCTCTAAACTAGAGACTTTACAGTATTTACAATGTTAACTAACTCTAAACTAGAGACTTTACAGTATTTACAATGTTAACTAACTCTAAACTAGAGACTTTACAGTATTTACAATGTTAACTAACTCTAAACTAGAGACTTTACAGTATTTACAATGTTAACTAACTCTAAACTAGAGACTTTACAGTATTTACAATGTTAACTAACTCTAAACTAGAGACTTTACAGTATTTACAATGTTAACTAACTCTAAACTAGAGACTTTACAGTATTTACAATGTTAACTAACTCTAAACTAGAGACTTTACAGTATTTACAATGTTAACTAACTCTAAACTAGAGACTTTACAGTATTTACAATGTTAACTAACTCTAAACTAGAGACTTTACAGTATTTACAATGTTAACTAACTCTAAACTAGAGACTTTACAGTATTTACAATGTTAACTAACTCTAAACTAGAGACTTTACAGTATTTACAATGTTAACTAACTCTAAACTAGAGACTTTACAGTATTTACAATGTTAACTAACTCTAAACTAGAGACTTTACAGTATTTACAATGTTAACTAACTCTAAACTAGAGACTTTACAGTATTTACAATGTTAACTAGCTCTAAACTAGAGACTTTACAGTATTTACAATGTTAACTAGCTCTAAACTAGAGACTTTACAGTAACTTACAATGTTAACTTACTCTAAACTTAAGACTTTACAGTATTTACAATGTTAACTAACTCTAAACTAGAGACTTTACAGTATTTACAATGTTAACTAACTCTAAACTAGAGACTTTACAGTAACTTACAATGTTAACTTACTCTAAACTAAAGACTTAACAGTATTTACAATGTTAACTAACTCTAAACATATTGATAATTAATTAATTTTCAATAACTGCAGCAGACTTTTAAAAAGTAACAGATTCTTACCTTTAATTCTGCTTTCTTTTGCACCCCAGGTAACATAGACGAGGAGAGCCGAGAAACGTACGATATTGAGCGTAACATCACCAACATGCAAAATGACATGATTAAACTGAACCAGCTCCTTCACAAGGAAACCAACATTCAGAGTAACCTGCAGCAGGACAATATCCTTCTGGAGCAGGACTTTATCAGGGCACTGAAGGTAAGTAACAAAGTAGAACATTCCAACACCATGGTTACATCCTAGAAAAGTAACGCCATGGGTACATCCTAGAAAAGTAACGCCATGGGTACATCCTAGAAAAGTAATGCCATGGGTACATCCTAGAAAAGTAATGCCATGGGTTCATCCTAGAAAAGTAACACCATGGGTACATCCTAGAAAAGTAACATCATAGGTACATCCTAGAAAAGTAACGCCATGGGTACATCCTAGAAAAGTAACGCCATGGGTTCATCCTAGAAAAGTCTAACACAATCTACTTATAATCCAGGTGTCTTACACAATCTACTTATAATCAATGGGTCTTACACAATCTACTTATAATCCAAGTGTCTTACACAATCTACTTTTAATCCAAGTGTCTTACACAATCTACTTATGATCAAGGTGTCTTACACAATCTACTGATAATCCAGGTGTCTTACACAATCTACTTATAATCCAAGGGTCTTACACAATCTACTTATAATCCAGGTGTCTTACACAATCTACTTATAATCAATGGGTCTTACACAATCTACTTATAATCCAAGTGTCTTACACAATCTACTTTTAATCCAAGTGTCTTACACAATCTACTTATGATCAAGGTGTCTTACACAATCTACTGATAATCCAGGTGTCTTACACAATCTACTTATAATCCAGGTGTCTTACACAATCTACTTATAATACAGGTGTCTCACACAATCTACTTCTAATCCAAGTGTCTTACACAATCTACTTATAATACAGGTGTCTCACACAATCTACTTGTAATCCAGGTGTCTTACACAATCTACTTATAATCCAAGTGTCTTACACAATCTACTTTTAATCCAGGTGTCTTACACAATCTCCTTATAATCCAGGTGCCTTACACAATCTACTTATAATACAGGAGTCTCACACAATCTACTTCTAATCCAAGAGTCTTACACAATCTACTTATCATCCAGGTGTCTTACACAATTTCCTTATAATCCAAGTGTCTTACCCAATCTACTTATAATCCAGGCGTCTTACACAATCTACTTACAATCAAGTTGTCTTACACAATCTACTTATCATCCAGGTGTCTTACACAATCTACTTATAATCCAGGTGTCTTACACAATCTACTTATAATCCAGGTGTCTCACACAATCTACTTCTAATCCAAGTGTCTTACACAATCTACTTCTAATACAGGTGTCTCACACAATCTACTTATAATCCAAGTGTCTGACACAATCTACTTATAATCCAGGTGTCTTACACAATTTACTTATAATCCAAGTGTCTTACACAATCTACTTATAATACAGGTGTCTTACACAATCTATTTATAATCCAGGTGTCTTACACAATTTCCTTATAATCCAAGTGTCTTACACAATCTACTTATAACCCAGGTGTCTTACACAATCTATTTATAATCCAGGTGTCTTACACAAGCTACTTACAATCAAGTTGTCTTACACAATCTACTTACAATCCAGTTGTCTTACACAATCTACTTATAATACAAGTGTCTTACACAATCTACTTATAATCCAGGTGTCTTACACAATCTACTTATAATCCAGGTATCTTACAGAATCTACTGATAATTCAGGTGTCTTACACAATCTACTTATAATCCAGGTGTCTTACACAATCCTCTTATAATCCAGGTGTCTTACACAATCTACTGATAATCCAGGTGTCTTACACAATCTACTTATAATCCAGGTGTCTTACACAATCTACTTATAATCCAGGTGTCTTACACAATCTATTTATAATCCAGGTGTCTTACACAATCTACTTATAATCCAGGTGTCTTACAGAATAAAGCTTTGTCACAACTCAGTAAAGACATTTCTGTGTAATGATGTATTGTTTTTGCACTAATATATTGTATTTGTGGTGCATTTATTTGACAGGAGGCTGAGCTAGACTCCATAGAGAAGCAAGCCAATTTGGACTCCATCAAAGAAGAGAAAGAGAGACTTCTCAACAGTCTTGTAGAGGCAGAGTATGTAAAGAGTCTTGTAGAGGCAGGGTATAGCCTTGTAGTTAATGGCGGGAACATTATTAGTTACTTAATTAATAGTGGGGACATTGTTAGTTACCTAGTTAATGATGTGGACTTTCTAGTTACCTAGTTAATGGTGGGGACATTGTTAGTTACCTAGTTAATAGTGGGGACATTGTTAGTTACCTAGTTAATGGTGGGGACATTGCTAGTTACCTAGTTAATGGTGGGGACGTTGTTAGTTACCTAGTTAATGATGTGGACTTTCTAGTTACCTAGTTAATGGTGGGGACATTGTTAGTTACCTAGTTAATGGTGGGGAC